CTCACTGGGCCACGACACACTGAACAATGCACCAGGGCTCACTCGAGTGGGAGCAAGTGTGGCCGGACCCCGCAGCAGGAAACTCTGAGGGTTAAATGGACCCCCACCAGCAGGAGAGAAAAAGGAAAGTGTTTCCCCTGTCTCTGTGGCTGCCAAGTCCCCGCCATGCCGCCTGCTCATCCACCCCTGCTGCCTTCCTCACATATTCCCTCTCTCCCTCCAGATGTCGTGAGCCGAAGATGTTTGAGGACTCAAGAGCCGGCTGGACAGCCTGGCCAGGAGGTGGGCTGCGAAGGAGCAGCAGCCTGCAGACGGGTGAGTGCAGGGTGCGCCCGACCTCACGGCCTGTGGCAGCAGCCCCATGTCTCCCGATCTTGAGAGACTTGGAGACCGTGCTGGGGAGGATTTCAGCCCGTCTTAAAGAGGCGGCAGCTGAGGCATAAGAGAGTCCTGCACCCCAAGGGGCGAAGCAGATTGGAGCGGAAGCAGCCCTGAGCCCCAGCGGTTCGGAAGCCGGCTCTGCACCACGCCCGCGGTGACGTGCGGAATCACAGAGCCGAAGGGGCAACCGACAATTGCGCGTGCGCTGAACTTGTTTACTGCTCTAGGCAAAGCCGGAAACAGGCGCCATCTTGTAATGGCGTTGACACCGCGCCCCACACCCGGCCGCACAGTCGGGTCACAGCCACAGCCCCCGCACCCGATGACCAGCCTGCCTGGCCGCGAGTCGCCTCTCTCTCCACCATGTCCCCGTCAGATTGTCTCCATTCCCCACACACGTCAGACCGACCCCTCTGTGAGCGGGCCCCCCCTGCCCTGGAGGACGCCGGCTCACAGTGGTAGCAGTTGACATCACGCGTGGGCGTGCTGCGTGCCCGGCACGGCACACGTGCTGGATGCCAGCGGGCCCGCGCACAGCAGACCTGCGCGGTGGGCTGTCACAACGTCCTCAGTCCCATTTTCCCCCGGGGCGCTGATGTCCCTGCTGACAGCCAGGAGCAGAGCCTCTGTTAGCTCTGCTACGCTGCTTCTTGTCCTCCGCGGAGAATCACGCCACGCCTCCATAGCAAATCTACAAACTTCCCTGCATCCTGTCTCTTCTCTGGCCAAGGCCCACCCATCAGCAAGGCCCTCTCCTCCCCTCCTGTCTGCTCAGAAGCCTCCAAGATCCAGATTCTCACTGGGCGGCTTTTGCACACTCCCTCCCACCAGATCCTTTCTTTCAGCATTCACACTGCCCATCCTTTTGTCCTTCTGAAGTGCCACACTCTGCCCCTCCACCACAGGGCCTTTGCACATGCTGTTCTGGCAGCCTGAATTGCTCCCCCAAGGTCCACCTAATGAATGCCTCTAGAGCGACCTTCTCAGGAGTCTCTAATCCCGCCTCTCAATCAGGCTCCTCAGTGATAAGCTCTCACAGGACGATGCTCTTTCCTTTAACACACGTATTGCAGTTTGTGTGGTATACTCAAGTGTTGACCCATGTCTGCCTTCCCCGCCAGACTGCAAGCCCCAAGTGCACAGGAACTGTGTTTGCTTTTGATGGCCCTTGTCTGTCCCACCACCCTCCCCAGCACAGTGCCTGCCGCGTACCAACAATACTCAGTACATCATTGTTGAAGGAAGGACCACACATGACTTTGGACAGCTTTCCTAACGTGGCAGGTGAGGGGACAGGGCTCGAGAAAGGGAGCATCTCCAGAGAGGTTTTTGACTTCAAGTATGAGAAAACCTAACAGTGGCCTAAACAAAAAGTGAGTCTGCAAGTAGGAAGCTGTAAGTTTTGTTCAGAAGCTTCACCTCATGCTCCCAAAGTGGCTGCCCCGACTCCAGGCATCATGAGTACATTCAGATGAAGAACAGGGAGGAAAGGTGGGGCCCAGCCAATCTGGCCCATTTATCAGGGAAGTAAGAGTCTGCCACTTCCATCCTATTGACCAGAACTCTGTCATCTGGCCACCTGTAGCTTCAAGGGCATCTGAGAATGCAAGAATGTGGCCTCTCTAGCCTCTATAGTGGAGGAAGACAAGAGAGACCGGAGTTGGGAAACAATGGTGTCCGCCAAGGAGGGAATGTTAAGAATGCACACAGTGCATTCTTGGGCCTCAGTTTCCTCCTCTATAAAGCAGGCGTAGGGGTATATCTGCAGGGTAAGCCCTAAGGTGTCCCTCACGGCCCAGCTATGTGCTGTGCAGTCAATGCAGCCCAGGTGCCACTTGGCCCCCGAGGCGAGGTTAAGTGGTGGGGGCCACCCTGCACAAAGTGCAGGACATGCGGAGGTCCAAGGCAGCCTCCTCCATGTCTGCTGGTTCCCAGGAAGCTCAGGGCCTCCTGGCGTCCCCTGGGGACTTTCTCCTGCCCGTCATCCTCTCCTTTAGTACCACAACCCACAAGTCACCTTGTCACCAACCCCATCCAAATAATTCCTGAGCCCTGGTGACCTAACCAAAGAGTTGAGGACATCAGGGTTAGGGGAGGCGACCCTTGGCTTTCCCAGTCAGCACAGCCACCTGGCACATCTCTGCCAGGCTCGAGGAGGCAGAGGTGACCCAGCCAGGGCCCGCCTCAGCATACTCACGGAGTCACTGGAACCCGTAAAGGACGTGCAGGAATGAGGGAAGATGATGGGGACTGAGGGCAGGCAGAGGGCAGGGCAGGAGCGGAGGTGTGGAGGCGGCTCGCACGAGTCGGCAGGATCGGGAGGCCAGGGCGCAAGATGGCAGGAGCGAGACAGCACGGTGGAAGCAACACTGAGGTCTGACTGCGCTGGAGAGGGCGCTGTGGGCAGCGTTCCCGGGAAGCCGTGCCCAAGGGGCCTTTAGCTCTTGGGATCAGCACCCATGGTAGGGAAGGGACAGAAAGAAGCAAGGTGGGCAGAGGGAGAAGTCCCCGCTGCACCGCGGTCTCCATGAAGGACTCGGCTGACTGCAGAGGGAGCCCTGATGACGGGATGAGCCTTCAGCACTGTCCCAAGTTGGGGACGAAGGGATCCTTGGTCAGTCACCAGGTGCAGGCTGCTCTGGGGAGGTGGCACAGCCTCAGGAGAGGTGGCTGTCTTCTGCAATCCTCCAAGGAGGTGGAAAGCTAAGGGCTGTCTTCGTGCAGCACTCCCAGGCCCCAACGTAGTAAGTTCCTCATCCCCAAAGGGTCTCAGTAGCGTGTCACAGAGTCCCAGAAGGAAGGAAAGGCAACGAAGGCCGGCTGGGCTAGGCTGCAGGACAGCGTGAGGTAGGGCAGCCGACTTGGGACAGAGCATGCAGGTGGACACCTCTGCCACGCTTAGAGTGGCCGCAGGTGCTCACCGGGACACGGGGACGTTGCTCCATCAGTGTTTGCTGAGTGGAGTGGAGGCAACCGAGTGAGTGGGTGAGCGAGTGATGGGCGGGAGGGGTGGTGTGCAGACCCCCAGCCAACGTTTCCAGCTGCAAGAAGGCAAATGGAGGCATACACCCCATCTATCTAGATATTTCTATTTCTATTAGGATTCAAGGTAAAAAAACCAAACTGCTAAACAAAAACACGTTCCATATTCATAACTTGACCAAATGTGTACTTCCATCACCCTGTTTGAGGCCAGGTTCAAACTGAGAATTTGTGGACTCCTCAGATCTCTCTGCCTGAAAGCTGGCCCTGGTCCACGGCCTGTGCCCTGCCTCCTGCCATCTCTTCTGTCTGGGGGTCCCGCAGCTCAGCCGCACCCTCCCAGTCCCACCCCACCAGCCCCGGGACAGCCGACCCCTTGCAGGCCCAGGAAGCATTAGCCTCTCGGGCAGGGACTTCAGGCCCCGGGCACCTGGCGCATGGTCTAGGCTCCAGGTGGGCAAGTGCCCTGGCTGGATCTAGGGAGGAGTGTGGCCACAGGAGGACCAGAGCAGGTGACTCTGAGATGGAGTTAATTTATCAGGGAGAGAGCCCTTGGATCCACACCTGTGGAGGGCGGGAAGGAAGCAGAACTGGGCAGAGGGAGGGCTGAGCCGCAGTGTAGGGCCAAGGCCAGCCGCTGTGACCCCACGGGTACCCAGAGCTGAGAGGGCGGAGGTGACCTAGCTTTTATACTCCCCATCCCTAGGGCACTGAAAACAGGTGCCCGGGGAAGGGCCGTGACCTTGGGCTAGTGCTCTGTAGCAGAGGGCCAGCCTTACTGGAGTGGGGACCTGGGCCTGCGTGGCAGCGTCCCCCACAGAGGGGCCCTCGAAGGGGAGGAGGGGGATTGAGGCCAGGATCCCTCCCGCCTGTGTCCAGGGGCTGTCCCAGCCCAGTGGGATGGCCGGGATGGGACAGAGGACAGTGGGCCTGCCCTGGCCACTTGGCTCTTTGGCTCAGGAACCTGGGGACATTTGGTGACAGCCATTTCTCCCCCCTTTCCACCCCCCTAGTCTGCCTGAAGGGCACCAAGGTGCACATGAAGTGCTTTCTGGCCTTCCCCCAGACGAAGACGTTCCACGACGCGAGCGAGGACTGCATCTCGCGCGGGGGCACGCTGGGCACCCCGCAGACGGGCTCGGAGAACGACGCGCTGTACGAGTACCTGCGCCAGAGCGTGGGCGGCGAGGCCGAGATCTGGCTGGGCCTCAACGACATGGCCACGGAGGGCGCCTGGGTGGACATGACCGGCGGCCGCGCCGCCTACAAGAACTGGGAGACGGAGATCACCGCGCAGCCCGACGGCGGCAAGGCCGAGAACTGCGCCGTCCTGTCCGGCGCGGCCAACGGCAAGTGGTTCGACAAGCGCTGCCGCGACCAGCTGCCCTACATCTGCCAGTTCGCCATCGTGTAGCCCGCGGGGCGGGACGCCCCTGCGCTGGGGCCGCCTTGCGCAAATAAAGTCGGTGCAGCTTCGCCCGCGCGCACCCAGGCGAGCCGGACACGCGCGCTGCGCGCCACCCATGGGCTCTCCACTCATGGGGACGGGGAGGGAGGAGGGAAGGAATCGGGGAGACCAGAGAACCCTCGCTTGCTGCCTTCCTTTTTCTTTTTATGACTTTTTATTTTCATTTAATTTCAGACTTACAGAAAACTTGCAAGAATTTCTCGTTCCCCAAATAGTAACATTCCCCTTAGTTGCTTTAACCTTTTCTTTCATTACTTTTTTTTTTATTTCGGCATATTATGGGGGTACAGATTTTAAGGTTTCAATAAATGCCCATTCCCCCCTCCCCCCACAAGTCTGAGTCTCCAGCATGACCATCCCCCAGATGGTGCACATCTCACTCATTATATATGTATATACCTGCCCCCCTCCCACCTTTTCATTACTTTTTGACAGTAAATTGTAGACATGATCTCACTCTACCCTTAAATACTTCAGTGTGTGTTTCCTGAAAATAAGGATATTTTCTTACATAAGCACAACCACAGGGCAGTTATCAAAGTCAGGAAATGAACCTCGATAGGATATCGTCTTCTAAGTCACAGCCCTTATTCAAATTTCCAGGCTTCTTTTTGTAGAATCCGCTGCCATCTGTTGGAATCCAGCATTGCTCCCCCCCCCAACACATACACCTAATTCCAGGGGAGAGCAGGGTGTCCCTGCTGCTGACCCCTCCCGCTGTTTCTGGGTGCACCGACATGCTGAGGGCTGGGCAGAGAGTGGGCGGCAGAGGCTGCCCACGAGGGAGACTGGCATTCCCCTCCTGCCTCCACACATCCTGCGAGCTGGTCCAGGAGCCACACATGACCGTCACCAACACTGTCTGGCCAGCGTGTCCCCTTCCTTCCCACCCTCACAGAAAACTAGGCAGGGGTCCACGTAACTGCATGTTAGCAGTAACAGCTGCCACTGTTGAGCCTACCACATTGCAGGAACTTTAAATACGCCGTCTTATTTAATCTTCTCTGCCCGGGACAAGATGTGCCATCGTCACCTTTTTATGGGAAAGGAAGTTGAAGCTCAGGGAAGTTCAGTGACTGCCCATTGGTCTCAAACCTGGTACGTAGCTGAGCCAGGATTCAACCCAGGGCTGATTCCAAAGGCCTTAGCCTTTCCACCACCGCTGCAGTGCTTGCTTGATGTGACTGGAACTTTCCAGCCATAAAACATCAGAATGTGGCCTAGTGATCCCCAGAGGCTATTGGCCAGCTCCTGGCACGGCCTGGCCCAGCTCGAGTGACATATCTTAGGGAAAATCTTCCTTATCCATCAGCCACGGCCATTGCTCCACTGTCTGGACTTCTGCAGCACCTTTTCTCTCTGGCTGTCTTTTAGTGTGTCTTGCCTTCCGTAATAAATTGATGACAGTTTGATTCGATCAACGGGGATGGGGTGAGCTGGGGGAGACAGTCTGCAGTGAACCAGGCACTCTGTTCATCATGGTCACAGAAAGCATCTGGTGAAGTTCAGCAGTTGTGGGAGGAGGCGATGAGCCCCATTGGTGTTAGTGCGGAAACAGACTGAGAAAGGCGATGCAATATGTTCAGGATGGTCCAGACTGTGAGAGGCAAAGCTAAGACTCAGATCTACGTCTTGTAACTCTAAGTTCTGGACTCTTTTTTACACGCCCCCCCCCAACCACTTAGCTTTCTAGCAGGATACAGGTGACCAGGGGTTTTTCAAAGCTCCTGAAGTGGGTGACTGCCCCAATGAGTGTGCCCATACCTCTGTGTGTGAGTGTGGGTGCTAGTGGAGAGACAGCGCTGTGTGTCTCAAGGGGTGTGATGACACCCCTTGGGCGGGCAGCCAGCACTGCCCACTTCCAGCAGTAGGTGGCAGTATGGGCAAGAGAATAGACACCCATCTTTCCGCGTCTGGTATGCTCTTACGTTTGGGATGCTGAGACCTGCACGCTTCAAACTGGGCACACCCGTCTTCCCATCTTGTCTTTATTTAAATTTTGACATTTTGTTCATCATGGATTTGGGAGGCATTAATTTTGATTTTTTAAAAATAGTGCATTCAAATATTATTTATCTTGCTACTGAGTTTTTTTGGCATCCCTATAAATTTTGTACCCCAGGTGAGTAGCTCACTTACCGTGAGTCCCTGCCTTGCCTCAGAGGCACAAACTTTGGGGAAGTTCCCAGGGGTTTTGCAAATGACAATAGTTTTGAGGGACTCAGTTTCTAGATCTTTCACTTCTGTGTCACTCGTTACTAGAATTGGGCTGCCCGGGCGCAGGCCTAGGTGGAGGCCTCTTTTCCTATCTCCTTTTTCACAATCACACTTTTCCCTCCTTACAAAGGGAAAGCCAACTCTTCCAGCCATCCTGAGCTTACCATGGTGTGTCACCCTGGTGTGTGTAAAGCTTTGGGAATGCCACACAAAAGGACTATTTGAGATATTGGTCTAGGTATTGAGCAAGTAAAAAACTGTGTAAAAAAAACCCATTTCTGCAAATTTAGTGGCTTCCAATTCTTTGCCTTCAGTAACCTTGGAGCACGGCCTAATCAAGTGGTTAGTTAATAGACCATACAAAATAATTTCCAATGACAAAAACACTTTTGACCTGTACCTTAGAAGTTCAAGTATTAAGTGATATCACAATAAAAAATCTCCATACAGTCTTACCAACTTAACTGAACAAGGTTTCTCAACATTTTCAACTCTAAACATGAAAACTAAGAATAATATTGATGCTGAATCCTGCTTTAGTCTAAGCTAGATGAATCAATTTTTATTTTTTCTTAGCCCTTCCCATTCCAGATGCATATGAATCAATTTAAAAAAAAAAACCATTCATCTCATTAAAAGAATTGTGGTTAGTTATATTTATAAAAATATGCAATCTACCTTTGGTGTTTTGATCAATTGTGTGCTAAGATTAATTGTGTTGGGCTAGCAAACTGAGCTTGAGGAGCACTGGCCTAACACCTTTCTCTGAGAACAAAGCTACCCTAGGCATTTATGAGGGCAGCTGAGCAGGAGGCAGCAGTTTCCCTGAAGGAACTTTCTGTCGGCTCTTCCTCCTCCCTGGCGTGCAGGAGCCCCGCATAGAGGCCTGGGTGAGCCTTATTCCCTCTCCTCGCCCCGCCACCTCTCTGCTCCAGTTTCTCCTTTCCCATTTGGCTGTTCCTCCAGCCTTCCTCACCCTGGCCCATCCCAGCCAAGGGTGGGGAGAGCCCCAGTGTGGAGAAAGGGGTGCCTGGGAGTCCTGGTGCTTGTCATGGCAGCACTGGCTGTGGGACCCTGGGAAGGCCTGTGGGACAGAGCCCCCAGTTTCTTCATCTGCAATCTGACGTGTCGACTAGATGATCCTTAAGACGCCTGCATCCAGGATTCTATCCACTGTCCTTGGGAATGTTTTGTAGAATCTTCTCTAGATCAGAAAGCTATTTGGCAGCTGTTTCCTCTGCCCATGCAAGGCTCATCCCCTGCACTGGCCACCTCGTTATCTGCAGGGACTATTGGCATTGCTGTGCCTCTCTTGAATCCCAAATGTGTGCAAATTTAGATTCCTGGGGGACCCCACCTGGAAGTCCTTAGGCACCTAAGTCGACATGTCCAAAAAGGTACTCAGTGTCTTCCCACTCAAATCTGCTCCTCTTCCTGAGCTCAGCATCTCCATGAAGGTCCTCACCTAGCCAGTCACCCAAGCTCCAAGCCTGTTGAGCATCAAAAGCGACTCAGTGGCTGTCCTGAGCCCCTTGAGACACTTGAGACAGACACTTAACATTTAAACATTCACCAGGACTCTATGACTCTACCTGCCAAGGAGCTCTCTGGTCTGTCTCCTCTTATCTAGTTGCATTGCTACTGGGCTCAAGTCTCTTGCTTGAATCATTGCAGATAACTTTCTTCCCGGTTTCACGACTTCCTTTGCATCTCTCCTGCCCATCCCAAACCATAGCTTTATTGCATAACTACTAGTTGTATGGCCGGTTCAAGCCTTGGTTGGACATGGCCCATGGAAAGTGATCTACACACACACACACACACATACACACACACACACACACACACACACACACACCCCTTTGCTTCATCTGAAAACATTTCTCCACTGATGTGTCTCTAATGCCTTAGACCACCAGGCAATAATGCAATATTTCTTCCTTTGAGTTTGGGTTTGCACAGATAAAGAGGAGATTAAAAACAAAGAAAATTAGCAATGTGTATGCTGACCCCAAGCCCCTTACTATGAGCTGGGAAAGAACCCAGAAATTATCTCATTTAATAGTTATAAACCCAAGAGGGAGGTATTGCTAAACCTATTTCATAATTGAGGAAAATGAGGTATAAAGATAACTTTTCTTGAGAACATTCAGTGATGGGACTGGAATTTCAGCGCAGGTCTGTTGTGTTCCAAAGCCCACATACCATCTGTTATATACATTAAGTCCTTCCAGAATCTTGAAGAAAGTTTGCAGATTTTCATGTGATTGTGAAAATTTGGTAAAGAAGAGTTCATGGTGATGTATATTTGTGTGTATTAGTGATTGGTGGTACAGAATCCTGTAAAAACACATTTTCTACCCATTACCCGTAGAAAAACACATTTTCTACGGCTATTTCTGAGGCCTAATGTTAGATTCTAACTCACCTGCTTTTCATGGGTGATTCATTTATAAGCATGGTTTATGAATCTTTCAAGCTGAAAATCATGGCACAACCTACAAAACAGCTAACCCTTTTCTCCACTAGAATGCACTATTATTTCATGCAAGGTGAGAACATAGCCGGCGAAAGATCAATGCAATCTTCAGATGAAGAAACTAAGGCACAGGGAGGTTATGTGACCAGCCAAGTCACACAGCTTGCTAGAGAATGAGCCCAAGAGTTTCACTTTCTCAGCAGAAAGAAGCTTTGTGCAAACCATTTCTCCAGACAGCCAACTAGTTACCTATGGAATGCCCACCATGCTCTGAGCACACTGCCTGGGGCCTGCTTGAGCTGTTCACCACCTGA